AAGATATGACAAAATACCCATTTATAAACTATCAAGGGCTCATGTGGGAGAGGGGAGCGGGGAGGGAGGGGAAAAATGAGGACCTAATGTCGGGGGTTTAAATGGAGAGAGAATGTTTTGAGAAATGATGTACGGATACGCTTTACACAATTGATGTGTGTATGGATTGGGATAACAGTTGTATGAGCCCCTAATAAAATGTTTAAAAAAAAAAAAATTGAAAAAAAAAGACAAATGAAAAAAAAAAAAAAAGAAAAAGAAAAAAAAACAAAAAAACTAAATACCAATTATTAATTCACGGAATGCTGGAAATTCTGCCCAATTCATGTCAACAAACAAGATTCTCTAGATGTTAAAATAATTTACATTAAGAGGTTAATTGATTTTTTAAATTTCTTGGGGTGGTCCAGCCATGCTAGAAACATTTGTGGGGTTTTACATCATACTAGGTGCTATGAAAGAAAACAAACTAAGTGAAAAGCCCACTTTTTCAGGAAATTTATTTTCTAGTTGGGAAAGCATAATAATCAAAGAAAGTAAAATTTAACTACATATGGTAGCATAGTATATTACACACTGGGCTACTAACTGCAAGGCCAGCAGTTAACTTACCAGCCACCCTTGGCAAAAAGATGAAGCTGTCTACTCCTATAGAGAGTTACAGCCATGAAACCTTAAAGAGGCAGTTCTACTCTGTCCTAAAGGGTCATTACAAGATGGAATCAATTCAATGGCATTGAGTGAATGGCCTTGCAAAATACCATAAACGATATAAAATATAGTCATGATAGTCAGAAAACGCAGAAATAGCAATTGTCCATAAACCTGGAAGAATGGTTTCCCATTGATGTTAATTTCTTACCAGCTTCAAAATTATGGGAAACAGGCTGGCAAATATTTTTTAAGCATCCAAAATCAAGACATTAAATATTACTGATGCTATTTCTTTTAAATTTTTATTCAATCTTCCTATTTCAAGGAGACAAGATGGTTTGTTGCATGGTATGTCTTCTAGTCTCCTTTATCACTTACTAGTAGTACCCTTTTGACGAATGTGGTCTCAGAGTCTTCAGTGGATACCTGCATCTAGTAAGGTTTTTCCGCTGATTCTATTTTTATGGTAACATGTTTCTACCGCAAATTAGATGGTATATGAGGGGGACTTCAAAGCTCATGGAAATTAAAAGACAATGGAATTTTCTCACAAATGTTTTGAAGCCCCTGAGCATTTTCCCTTTATAATTAAATTTAATTAATATTTCCTTTTTTATTTACTATTTCCTCTTTAGGTTGACTTTTAAACCCTGCCAAAACCACAAAGGAATACTGTTCTAACCACTCCAGATTATAGGCAATTTCATGTCTCATTATAATCAAGACCACCAAGCTATCTTTCTCTAAGAATAATAAAACCCTTAAGGTCTGGTAAAATCTCCAATAACTAACGTCTTTACAGTTTCTTCTCAAAATAAAGGAAGCACCACTCAGTCAGTGCTTGTTGCTGCAACACTCAATAAGTTTCAGTGGAGCTTTTAGCTAAGTCGGGCTCAGATGAAAGGTCTGAGATCTACTAGGAAAGAAATTAGCCAATGAAAATCCTATGGACCACAAGGTTCTGATCCCATTTGTGTTCTGGTCCCTATAAGTTTAGGTCAAAAAAGCAGCCAACATACAGTGAACAACACCCTTCTCTAATCTTTCAGGGAGAACTGATTGCTCCTCTCCCCTGCTCTACCCATGTAGGAAGACACACACATACAGAGTAATCCCCCTTGTTTATGAAGATCCGGGGGATGACTTGCCCTCTAATGTTACATAAATCCACCCTCACTATGTTCGAAACAGTTGAACCAATCCCTATTCCAACAAATTTACCACTATCATCATCACATGTTGCACGTGGACCTTCTAAGTCTTACTGAAGATTAAATAAGAACTATATGCAACTGTTTCGAATTATCTATGATACTTAGTCACTCTCAGGAACAGATTTTGCTTGTTTAGCCCAGGGACTGCCTGAACCCATCCCCATGCTGGCTCCACTAAACTAAGTGTCTTGTAGATACAAGCCCTATCTTTTCAATTCCAGGGTTAAATGGTCCCTTTGTAGAGATACTCAATAAACTTTGTTGATTAACTTTGTCTCGAACTGGTCCTATATATAATTCTATTTTTCTTAAAATACTTATCATTTTAAAGTAAAGGGTCAGCAGTGGCTGTCCTTAGATGCAAGTCCTTTACACTTATTTATGGATCTAGAGTACCTAATCAAGTTATAAATAACTGCCCACTCATTTAGACTCTGAAAGATGTATGGCTTAAGTGCTATATTGATGAATATACCATTAATTTTACTTCTATTCTTTCCAGAATGGCATTTTACATATTAAGAAATATTTTTTTTTTTTAAACCCACTATTTAGACTAGAAATTTTATGAAACTCCTTATTGAATGATGATTCCATTGTTATACTAATTTTGGATAAAAAATACTGGATAAAGTTTGAGCTCATGGCATGAATACTGGGAGGGGGGGGACTAAATTCTAACAAAGAACAAATTTCCAACAGCACACAAAACTTGAAATATCACACAAGGCCACCAGGTTTATAATATCTGCCCTAATACTGGCTTCTCCTAGTTCTGTAAACAAACATGAGGAACTTAAACACATACCATGTTTATTCTTATATGCCAGGAGAACTTCATCAGGTAAATGTTAGCTTACTAGTAAAAGGTGGATGATAAAAGATGCATGCTTCAATCGATTACATACAATTCACCAACAGGACTAACGATTGGAGCCCTGATATAGTGGTTATGGGTAGGGCTACTAACTGCAAGGTCAAGTGTTTGAAAGCACTGGCTGCTCCACAGGACAAAGACAAGGCTCTCTGCTCCCGTAGCGTTACAGTCCCAGAAACCCACAGGGGCAGTTCTACCCTATTCCAAAGGGTCACCCTGGGCTGGCAGCAACTCGATGGCAGTAAGTTTTGGGACAAGACTAACTACAATCACTGTAATGATGGCTCTTAATAAGCACTAGGGCGGGAGCGGGGGATTTTAAAATAAGGAAGGCAATAAGAAAAAATGTACAGATGGAGATATCTGACGGAACAAGTCTGCAAAATGGCCTCTCCACTATCTACAGCTAACATTTCCTTAAAAGCCAAAATTGACTATTTCTGAATCACTTCTTTAGGTTCTCAAAGGGCATCAGATCACATTGGTTCATGACCTCCAGGATAACGTTCATGTGATACATTAATGTCTTCTCCAATTTGCACACCAATGCTAACATTCTTCAAAGGGATATTAAAATTAGGGACCATTTGGAACTTATTTACAACCCATAATGTAGTTCAACCTGATCATTACTATTTCCAGGTAAAAGGAATGTCAGGAACTATAGGAGTCAAGCAGGCCTCAGCCTCTCTCTCCTTCTACCTCCTAAAAGAAGGATAATCCCATCCTTCTTCCCCATAGCATGGCCATATTAGATTTTAAGATAAATGGAAGGTGGAAACCAAGCTTTGGGAACAGCCACTGAAAGTAATGTGGGGGCAGGAATTCAAGGGCAATACCTTTAAGAGTGCTACTAAGTGTGGTGGTTGGAGGGTAGAAGCTGTAAGGGAAGAAGGTGGTGGTAATGAGAACAAGATATTGATGCAACAGCTATCCTAGGCAAGTAATGGGTGTCAAGGGCAGGTGGATTTGTTTGCAGAAAACAAGGCAAATCAAGGGAATGGTTTCCATTTAGCTTGTCATGTAACAGGTGTCACTGTGAGTTGGGGGCTGCTAACTGAAGCTGTTTAAGCCTCAGGAGAAAGGTGAGGCTGTCTACTCCTGTGAAGACCGACAGTCTGGGAAATCCTATATAAGGTCACTGTCAGAATTGACTCCATGGTAATGCTTTGGTTTTTTCTCCTAAATGTAACTGAAATGTCCTTGTTTCTGGATACTTAGATGGTACTCAAGTTTAAGTAGAAAGTGAGCCTTCTAACTTGTTAGAACATCATCACTTAATACAGTACATTCAAGAACAAGAAATACTCTTGCAATCTAATGAGACAGCAGTCACTCTCAGATACTACATTTTGCTTTGGAAGTGGGATTGTTCAAACGCTGAAACTGGGGACAGTTGTTTGAGAACTTTTACAAAGGCCTAGCTAGCCTCTATGCTCCTTTAAAAGCGAAGAATAGGAGGAAGGCATACACAGAAAACCACGTGTCTCCCAGTAGGAAGCACATAACCACTCGATTTCCCTAAAGCTCACTTTCAATGTTACCCTAACACCGTGTCTTTCTAAACAGCTGATTTGATATCCATGTTACTTGCCTTACTCTTTTAACAGGGCAAGGATTTGTTCCTCTTGGACCAACAAATAATCTCTCCTTAATGGATGGGGTAACCAGTGAAAAATGAACAAGCAACACCGAGGCCCTTAAAGAAGCCCAAAGCCCAACGGTGGGTTTTGATGTCAACAAACCGGTCCGGAGGAAGCCAATCTCTGCGAGCTCAGGGCTTGCAGGTGAGGGAGTGGTGGGTCTGGATTTCGCTGCGTTTGAGAACAATCCAATCCCACTTGGCTGTCTGGTGTGATCCCCGCGGTACTAAATCGCCACCGAGTCAAGAGAAGGCCTCCGGCGGTGGCTTCCTAAACCCAGACCCGACACCAGTCCCACACCATGCCCAATCCATGGGGCTGAACACCGTCCTGAGACCGAAAACTGCAACTCCCGGGCTTCGCGCATTTCTCTCGCCCTCCCCATCAACTCGCATTTTCCTCTAGAGCTGCCCCCCCAATCCTCAGCCCAAGACTGAGGGCAGGGGCCCCTGACCTCCCGCCAATTCTTCATGTCGCCGCCACTTGCATCAAAAGAAGAGAGCCTCAAGGTGACACCTTATTTTGGCCGGTAGATTAGGGTTCTGGGCCCAAGTTCCCGGCCACTAGAGCCCGGCAACCCGAGGTCTCGGGCCCGGTTTCCCGTCGCCTCACCTGGCAGCGGCAAACGATGTCCGCGTCCTGCGACAGCAGATCCACCACCTTCCCTTTGCCTTCGTCGCCCCACTGCGCGCCGAGCACCACCGTCACCCGGTTTCCTCCGGGCCGCGCCCTGGGGCGACCACAATCGCCGTTGGGCATGGATGCTGCTGCCGGGTTGGTCTCGGCGAACGCCATGGCTCCAGGGACGCCAAGAGAGCCCGAAGGAGAAGCTGAGGAAGAGTGAACGAACGGCACTGCTCTGCGGCCACAAGCCACATGCGGAGGAAGAAGGATCTAGAGGCCGGCCCCGCCCCCGCCCGGGCCGCCACCCGCCAACCAGGCCCCGCCCCGCCACTGCCGTCCTAATGAGGGACCATGACTGCCCCGCGCAGGCCGGCCTCGGCAGCACCGCCCGCAGGGAGGCCTTAGTGGCAGCAGTTGCCGCCACCTGGGACCCGAGGCCACGCCCCTTCCGCGGTCTGGCCCGCCACTCTAGTGAGAACCGGTGAGCAGGAAGGGAAATGGGGCGGGGCTTCCAGCGCGCGACACACCCTCCCGACGACCCCGCCCACCAGCCTACCCGCCGCCCTTCCGCTTTCCACCGGGCGCCGGGGCGAGCGGGACTACTGCTCCCGGCATGCAACGCTATGGGCCGCGGGACGTGCTCCGCTGCCCTAGTGTCCGCCCTCCTCAGGCTTCCATCTCTGAAAGCGTCCGTTTTTAATCAAGAAAATCATTTGCTTCTATTAAAAGAAGGAGATAGCGCGCACAAAACACGAAGAATTTCAAAATGCAAACAGGTATCATTACAAAGGAGAGGTCTAGAAATGAGAGCAGAGGTAACAGGTGCCCTACTGTCTCTGGTTTTACACCCTAACAGAAACTCAGGCTGAGTGACTTGCTGATGGCATACAGTATATGTTAGATACTTTAAAGCACTCTTAATGTCCATAACCAAATGAGGACCGTGGTTCACGCTTTACATTACATGATTCTGCGGTGTAAATGGTGAGGTAACTTTGCTCTAGTGAGGCCTATATTAATACTAGATAATCCAGAATGCATGCCCTTGTGATATATATTGTACTCTTCTTAGTGTTTCTGTTGCAGCTGGATTCAAGTATACATTGTCCAACACAATGTATTCCAGTTACAACACAATTTTTTAATAAATCATTTTATTAAGGGTTCTTATAACTCTTTACAATGCAAATTAACTGATAGCTAACTCTCATAAAAGTTGCTTAAGGGAAACAAAATGGAAATAGAATCTGTTATATATAGTGTCTCATAAATCGTGTGTACGCTCGCCTTTATTCAATAGAACCTGTAACACATTTTAAAGGAGACCTGGTGGCTCTGAGGTTAAGCATTGAGCTGCCACCGCAAGATTGCTGGTTCAAACCTACTAACAACTCCTAGAGAGAAAGAAGAGGCAGTCTGCTCCTGTAAAGATGCACCCTCTCAGATCAAAGAGAGTTGTTTAGGGTCCTTACGAGCTGGAATTCATTTGATGGCAGTGAGTTTGGGTTTTCATTTTATAGTTCATCTCAAAAGATTCCTGGTGATGCAGTGGTTAATCACTGCACTACTAAGCAAAAGGCTGGTAGTTCAAACACACCAACCAGCCTCTGTGGGAGAAAGCTGCAGCAGTCTGCTGTTGTAAAGATTTACAGCCTTGGAAAAGCTGTGGAGCAGTTCAACTCTGGGCCTTGTGTCACTCAAGTTGGAATTGACTATGGCAATGTATATAACGCAATTTAGCTCATCATTGTGAAAAAATGGTTTATTAGCTCAATCCACATTGAGAAGCTACTACAGTCTAGGAGTGTGCTGGACACTGATTAGCATAAGGTTGAAAAAACACATAATCGCAGCACTCAAGGATTCAAGATTTGAGCTGAAGACGTGTGTTAGTCTAGGTACATTAGAGAAACAAATCCACAGAAACTCATATGTATGAGAGAATTTTATATAAAGGGTAAGTGCATATCAAGAAAACATCCCAACCCAGTGCTGCCCAAGCCCACAAGTCCAACATTAATCCATATGTCCGACACCAATCCACAAAGTCCTCCTACATCTCACAAAACACAAGCAACGATGCAGACTGCAGGAGGAAAGCCGAGTCAGTGAACGTGTAAGCATCTCAGTGCTGGCAGGGGTCTCCACATGGCTGCTCCAGCACCCAGGGCTGCACTAGGGGAGGTCCATGTGTCTTCTCCTCAGGGATGTCTTGCAGGAAGTGAGCCTTGACAGCTGAAGCAGCTGCATCCTGGTCTGACCTTCACAAAGCAAGAGACCCAAGAACTAGAAAGGGGAGGATCACTGAGCCATGTATCCCTCCGCCCTTCAATTAACCCCGCATGTGTTTATCGGCTAGGTTGGTGCAATAAACTAACTACCTCAACAAGTAAACTGAGAAATCACAATACTGTGTAATAACTTTGATGTTTTACTTGGCTTTACCATAAGATTATAAACACTGTTAGCAAAGCTACTGTCGTAGTTCTTTGTACTCGAGTGCAGAAGTTAATGTTGGGGCTGTAGTAGGTGCTCAACAAACATACATTACTGCTCAAGTGAACAATAATTAGCCAAGTGTATTTTTGTTACTGCAGTGGTTACACACTTGTAGTCACAACAAAGCTTTGGGTCAAAGATACACGAAAGCGTCACCTTCATTAAGTCAACTAGAATTTTTTTTTGTAGCACGCTTGCTATCTCCTGCAGAAAAGGTAGGAGCCCCTGGGTGGAATACAAACCGCTATGGATGCTGGCAGCTAACTGAAAGGTTGGGAGTTCAGTATACACAGGGGCACCTTGACCTTGGTCAGCTCCTCCTAAAAACCCAGCTGTTAAAAACCCAGTGGAGCCTAGTTCTCTTCATACACACACTCATGGGGTCCACATGAGTGAGACAGACTCCACAGCAACGGGTTTATTTTTTAACTGGCAGTACTTAAAGCCAGTTCTTTACTTCCTCACATTCCAGGGAGCGGAGTGCCTGGCCACACGCAGGTTCACACATCCTTTGGATGGGGAACATCCGCAGACGCTTCCCATCCAAGCGTCCGCACTGGAGGGCGCGCGGCCGGCCTGGGCGCGGTGCAGGCAGTTGGCCGAGGCTCAGCCGACGCCATGGAGGCCGGGGGAGCGGCGCTGCTGCTTTTGTGGCTGAGCTGCAGATGCTCCGCGGAGTGGAGGTACAGAGGGAGTCCCACACCCCTGGGTCGTGGGCGGGGTCTCACCAGCGTCCCCCGGGCTGATTGGCAGTGAGCACCCCACGTGTCCAGGAGCACTTTGGGAGGCCACAGCAGAAGGACACCCAGTCTCACCCACTTACTTGGTCATGGCACCAACTGGCCTCCCGGTTCCCCGATACCAGCACCAGCGACCTACTGCTTACTTCCACCGAGTTTCCAATGGATTCAGACCGAGAATGAGGGAGTGAAGGCCGGGTGGAGGTTTTGATTTAAAATAAAAAATAAAACAACGCCATCGAGTTGATACTGGACTCAAAACGACCCTATTGGACAGAGTAGAACTGCCCCTGAGAGTTTCCAACACGAATTTATTTTTATGAGAGTGGAAATCTTCATCTTTCTCACGTGGTGCGTCTGGTGGTTTTCGAACTGCTGGCCTTGAGGCGAGCAACTCCATTAGGACTGCCAAACTCACCATCCCAAACGCACTGCCATCTAATCAGTTGCAACTCATAGCAACCCTGCAGAACAGAGCAGAACCACCTGTGGACTTCATGATTCTATTTCCTGCATACAGGTCTTGCTATCTTCAAGTCGCTGTCCTGAGGACAGTTGAGCCCCTCTGAATTCTTAAATTTGTTTTATTTTCTCTTGCCAGAGCAGGAGAGGCAGAAATGAGAACTAATAACCAGGGATAGGGTGGGGAGCTGGAAAGGGGCAACACTAAAAGCAAATGTCTTAAAAGTAGTTGGTAATTCATCTCAGGTAGTTGAAGCTGAATGACTTGTGAGGCCGTGCATTTTAAAAATGTAAATCAGTATGCAAATATCAGGAAATTTCTTTACAAGGTGAGTTGTTTGGGAGAATAATAACCTTAAACTTCTGAGAGATCCTTAAGGCAAATTCAATATTCTGTAACCTCATGATTGGACAAAAGAAAAGAGAAAAGAGCTGCTATTTAGTGGGCTCTGATTCATCCTGTGGCACAGTGGTTTCAAGGACAATTCAAAACCACCTGCTCTTCTGGGGCTGGGGGTGGGGTGGGGGGAGATGAGGCTTTCTACTCCCATAAAGAGTTACAGTCATGGAAACTCACAGGGGGAGTTCTACCCTGCCCTCTAGGGTCACTATGAGAAGACATCCACTCAATAGCAGTGAGTTTGGTTTTTGGGTTGATGCTTAGCTGCCCTACATGGGATTTTCTATTATTAGCGACAAAGATGATGTGGGGCCACATCTGACTTCCTCCAAGTCCCAATGGGAATTGCCACAAAACAGAGGCCAGACATGCCTCTACCCTCGATCCTTCTTAACCCTACTCTGTCCCTCCCATGGCACTCTACTTCTGAAGGAGATGACGATTGTACAACTCTTCTTGTTGCGAATGAACTATTGAATTGTATGATATGTCAATTATATGCCAATAAAATTGCTGGGGGGGGGTGTGTAGAACTAGGTTGAGAAAAAATAGCTTCACAGTTTGATATTTTTTTGTTTAATAAGGGTTTCTGTGATTTTGTAGCAATGCTTTTTACTTACTCTCATATTTACCACAAACTGCTGAGTCTGAGTATGTACAACAAAAACTTAACGTGGTTTGACTTCTTGGTGTCAAACTTTAGGGTCATGGGTAGGTAAGGACATCCCAGTTATTTGGCTAATAACACACCGAGTGTCTCTGTTCTATCTCCAATTCAATGTACTGTGTGTTAGGTCTTAAAAGCCTAGCAAGAAGTCATCCAAAGCCCAATAAATTGGTCCTTATTGACCTGGAGCAACAGAAGAAGGAGAGTGAGGAATAGGAGGAGGATATGGATGCTAGAAGATGTGCAAAGACTTAGAAATCCAAACGGGAAAAACACATCCAACATACTTAAATTGCAAGAATTCAAAAAAATTTTCAGGCCTTGTGTTGCAATATTGAAAGATTTTATGGACAACCTATTAATGATGCAGGAGGTATCAAAAGAAAATGGAAAGAATACACAGAATCACTGTACCAAAAAGAACTGATTGGCATTCCATCATTTCAGGAAATAACATATGAGCAAGAACCAACGGTACTAAAGGAAGTTTAAGCTGCATTGATTCTTCAGTCTTCTTTATTCAACAACCAACTTTCACATGCAATTAGGCAATTGAGAAGCCCCTTAGTTCTCAAAATAACGTCCTTGATTTTCAGTATACCAAAGAAGTCTTGTGCTGCAAGATTTACCCAACAGTGCATTTTTGCTCTCTTGACTGCTACTTCCATTAGCATTGATTGTGGATCCAAATGAGACAAAATCCTTAACAATGTCTACCTTTTCTCCATTTATCATGATGTTACTTATTAGTCCATTTGTGAGGATTTGGGTCTTTTTACATTGAGTTGTAATCTATACTGAAGGCAGCAATCTTAAATCTTCATCACCAAATTCTTCATGTCCTCACTTTCAGCAAGCAAAATTGTGTTATATGCGTATTTCAGGTTGTTAATAAGCCTTCCTCCAATCCTGATGTCACATTTTCCTTTGCATGGGTCAGCTTCTCATATGATTGGCTCAGTATACAGATTGAATAAATGTGGTGAGAGGATACAACTCTTTCATGATTTTCCCCCCAAGTCCAGATAGTTTCATTTTGAAGTTCTACCAAACCCTCAAGGAATAATCATTTTTAACTTATATAAGTTGTTTTGGAAAATAGAAAAAGGACCTATCTCTCTGGGCATCCTAGTGGTATAGTGACTTACATTCTGGGCTTCTAACCATAAATACGATCAGCAGTTTGAGCCTATGGAGAAAGATGAGGCTAACTCTTCCTGTACAATTTTACAACCTCAGAAACCCTAGGGAACAACTCTACCCTGTCCTTTGTGTTGCTGCAATCCGTCAGAATTGAGTTCATGGCAGTTGGTTTGGTAAAGAATCTACACATATAGTTTCATGAGTCTCAGGTGGCCTTATTAAAAAATTAGATAAGGACAATACATAGCTAAAATAACTCAGTTTCACTAATTAACATTGATTGAAATAAGGTACCATGGACTGCTAAAAGGACAAACCAACCTGTCTTGGGAGAAGTACTGCCAAAATGCTCCTAAAACGCTAGGATGGTGAGACTTCATCTCACAAACTTTGGACACGTTATTCAGAGAGACTTGGAGCTGTAGAAGGACATCATGCTTGGCAAAATAGCAGGGCAGTGAACAGAGGAAGGGCCTCAAGCATAGGAAAAATTGTGAGGATTGCGCAGGTCTGGGCAATTTTCACCCTGGTGTGCACAAGTTCACTATGGTTTGGAACTCGATGGCACTTAATAACAACAACATGGATGCTTTACTATGAAAAAGTAACTGTACAGTACCATTATGGAGCATTTTATAAAAGATTACTTAAAAGAATTCTGAGTGAAGGGAGAAATTCAGAACAGATTTTTAAATTATCATAGACTCCAGATTTCCTGGAGGCATAAAGGGTGGGTGAACTTCTGAAATTGTTGGCATGTGTGTTAGTCTGGGTAGACTTAGAGAAACAAATTTATAGAGACTCATGAGGTTTATAAACAAGATCAACTGAATATTGAGAAAACAACCCAGCCCAGTCCAGATCAAGTCCATAAGTCTGATATTAGCCCATATGTCCAATACCGATCTACAAAGTCCTCTTCAGACTCACAAAACACATGTAACGACACCAAATGCAGAACGATCACAGGTCAGTGGGATGGAAGTCTTCTGGATCCAGTGGCGTTGTAAGCATAGCAGCGTGGGCAGGGGTCTCTACGTGGTTTCTCTGGCTCCAGATGTCTGGATAGGTCTGCATCTCCATAGGTTCATGTGGCTTCCCCAGCTCCCAGGGAATAGTGCCATGTGCCCTGTCAGTAGAGCATCGTCTCAAGGAGTGAGCAGAGAAAAAGAGAGAGAGAGACTGTCTCTCCAAGGAGGAAAAAAATCCAGAAGTCCCTAGAATTCTCAGGAGAAGGTAATGCCCACACAGAGACCTCATTGGCTATGATTTGATTGACAGACTAGACTCCACCCTTCACTCTTTTTTTTTTAATTATTTTATTGGGAGCTCGTACAATTCTCATCACAATCCATACATACATCCATTGTGTCAAGCACATATGTACATTTATTGCCCTCATCATTCTCAAAACATTTGCCTCCCACTCTAGCCCCTAATATCAGTTGCTTATTTTCCCCCTCCCTCATGAACCCTTCATAGTTCATAAATTATTATAATTTTGTCATAAGTTACCCTGTCCGATGTTTCCCTCCACCCTCTTCTCTGCTGTCCATCCCCCAGGGAGGAGGCAATACTTAGATTCTTGTAATTGGTTCCCTCTTTCTACCCCACATTCCCTTCATTCTCCAGGCATCGACCCTCTCACCACTGATCCTGAAGGAGTCATCTATACTGGATTCCCTGTTTTTCCAGTTGCTATCTGTACCAGTGTACATCCTCCGGTCCAGCTAGATTTGTAAGGTAGAATTGGGGTGATGATAGTGGGGGGCACCCCTTCACTCTTTATCCTCTCATCCCAAATTGACACCAGATTATGTAACTACCACAACATGTGATAATTTTAAAACTGTAAACCAAAAAAAAAAAAGGCTTAAGTCATCTTAAAACCAAATAGTAGTTTATCTTAACTCGTAAACAGTATCTGCCTTGAGCATAATGCTCTTTGAAGAACTATCCATATGGGATCATCAAATTGATAACCAAAACCTACTATCATAGAGTTGACCCAACTCAGTTACCTTGTGTAGAATGCTCACCCACGGCAATGGGGTGATGCCGACTCACGGCAACCCTATAGGACAGGGTAGAACTGCCCCTATGAGTTTCTGCGACTGTAATTATTTATGGGAGTAGAAAGCCCCATCTTTATCCCATGGAGCAGGTGGTGGTTTTGAAATATTGGGCTATCAGGGCTCTTCCCTATATCACATACGTCCCCAAATTCATTTGTTCCACTGCCCCCCTTTCAGAAAGAGAAAACAGAAATTG